CACAGATCCCTGTTTCCTTCAGGAGGAGAAATATTAATGTCTAAGGTACATATGTTAAAATATAAAGGATAACCATTAAAAGGACTGATACAGAGTGTAAAACTTCCCAAACAGCAGAGGGGAAAAAAATAAAGGAAAAAAAACCTCAATCCAAAAGGAGACAAGAGGGAAGAGAAGCAGAAAAAAAATGGAAACAAACAAAACACACAAAATAAGATGTTAAAAATAATTACAAATATGATAGTAATTACAATAAATTTAAATGGACAACTCACCAGATAAAAGATAGAATGGCTTAAAAAAAGAAAATGAAGCTATACGCTATTTTTAAGAGATTCACCTAAGATATAGGGACACAAAATGTCTAAAAAGAAATGATGGATAAAGATAATCCAGGCAAACACTAACCACACACATATATATATATATATAAAGAACTCACACATCTCAACAACAGAGAAACCACTCAATTAACAAATGGGCAGGGGCCGGCCTGGTGGAGCAGTAGTTAAGTTCTCCATGTTCTGCTTCGGCGGCCTGGGGTTCACCAGTTTGGATGCTGGGTGTGGACCTACACACTGCTTGTCAAGCCTTGCTGTGGCAGACGTCCCACATATAAAGTAGAGGAAGATGGGTATGGATGTTAGCTCAGGGCCAGTCTTCCTCAGCAAAATGAGGAGGATTGGCAGCAGATGTTAGCTCAGGGCTAATCTTCCTCAAAAAAAACACAAAAAACAAAAAACAAATGGGCAAAGGATATGAACATTTTTCCAAAGAAGATATACAGATGGCCAACAGGCACATAAAAAGATGCTCAACATCACTAATTATTAGGCAAATGGAAATCAAAACTACAATGAGATATCACCTCACGCCCATCAGAATGGCTATAATTAAAAAGATAAGAAATAACAAGCATTGGAGAGGATGTGGAGAAAAGAGAACCCTCAAACACCATTGGTGGGAATGTAAACTGGTGCAGCCACTATGAAAAACAGTATGGAGATTCCTCAAAAAATTAAGAATAGAACTACCATACGATTCAGCTATTCCATTTCTGGGTATTTATCCAAAGAACAGGAAAACACTAATTTGAAAAGATATTTGTACCCCATTATTCACAATAGGCAAGACTTAGAAACAACCTAAGTGCCCATCAGTGGATGAGTGGATAAAGAAGATGTGGTATATATACACAACAGCCATAAAAAATATGAAATCTTGCCATTTGTGACAACATGGGTGGAGCGTGAGGGCATTATGCTAAGCAAAATAAGTCAGATGGAGAGAAACAAACACCATATGATTTTACTCATATGTGAAAGGTTAAAAAAAAAAACCACACATAGATACAGAGAAAGCCAAATACCAAGTACTGCATGATTTCATTCAAAAGTGGGAGACAAAAACAACAACAAACACACACACACAAAGACATAGAAAGTGGTTACCAGAGGGGAAGGGAGCAGAGGGGAGGGTGAAAGGAGGACGCGGACACGTGCATGCGGTGATGGATGGGGATTAGACTTTGGGTAGTTAACACGATATAGTCTACACAGAAATAGAAATATAATGCTGTACACATGAAATTTATATATAATGTTATAAACCAACGTTACCTAAAAAAAAAACCCCAAAAAACAACAGCTAGCAGATAGACAGAATGTTAAACCTAAATGGTTGTGGGAGGAGACACCAATGAGAAGCCAAATCACCCCGCAGAACCCTGAAAGGCTCATAATCAGGTACCAAGTATCTCAGAAGGTGGGGTAGGGATGAAAACAAGGGAACTCTAACATTCTGAAGAGACGACAGTTGAACTGCCAGGTCTGCTTCCCCCACTGCACGCTCAGGTACCACCATGCCCTTCTCACTGCAGAAGACAGGAGGATTGGTCTTTGGTGATACTGAATCAGAGATGTTCCAGACTCAGGGAACCACACAGAGAAGGGTGTTAGACTGAAAACAGGAATTAAGTGAAAGTGTGTATACCAAAATGTTCCCCGACCAGGCTCCCAAACGACTGCACCCAGCTACAGGAGAAAACATCTACAGAGACCGACGTGTGGAGATCCTCAATTAAAAAACTGTCTGGCTATTCTCATTACCCTATAGTTCAGCCCAAGCACTGAAAAGCCGACTCACACAGGCTTACTTACCAGTTTTATAACAACTCACTCTTATAAATATGATTCACAGATGAAACCAAACATTTAAGAAAAGCTTTCAAAGCAAAAAAACAGAAAAAAAAAAAAAACCTCAAAGGTAATAGAGAAAATGCAGACAAGGGAAAACTTCAAAAGCACTATAATGCTACCTTAGAACGATAAGATATTATAGCCATGAAATAAGAAGTTAGAGAATAAGTAAAAGCTCACAGAAATTTTAAAAATAGCTGAAATAAAATTGTTTAATGAAAAGTTAAGGCTATCTCCCAGAAGATAGAACAAAAAGGATAACCAACTGCTGAAGAATCATGGTACCAATAACAGGACTGAGAAATCTGTGACTGAAAAGAGAATGCCCAAAATGATAACTAAAAAAAAAAAAAAGATGCAAGGTTCACTATCACGAACTCTCAAAACATCAGTAAAAAAAAAAAAAAAAAACCTTAAATGTTTACAAAGAAGAATAAAATAAAAGGATCAGATTTCTCAAAAATAACACTGAAAGCTAGTAAATAATGGAGGAACGCTTTCCACATTCTACCTGAAAATGACTTTCGTTATAATTCTATCCTCAGTTTAACTATCCTTCAATGTTTTATGGTAAAATAAAGATATGAAATCTTGCAATTTGCTACATGGGGACCTTGAGGGTATTCTGCTAAGTAAAATAAATCAGACAGAGAAAGACAAATATTGTTATGACCTCTCTTATATGTGGAATCTAAACAACCAATAAAAAAAAAACCTAACCTCATAGATACAGAGAAACAGATTAGCAGTTGCCAGAGGCAGCTGGTAAAGGGTGAGAAAAATGAGCGAACTGGGGTTTTTTTAGTTTAAATAAATTGAATAAATTTTTTTAAAAATAGAGGATGGCAAAAAGACAAAGAGACATTTCCTGGAAAAGGAAATACTGGTGTTCAATCTCATTTGTGATAAATGCAAATTAAAATCACAATGAAACAGCATTTCACACCTCACAGTTGGGCAAACATTTAAGAATGGCAATAAAAAGGTTGGCTCAAATCTAGAATAACAAGAACCGTCACTCCCTGTTAAAGGGAGTATCAACAGTTTGTCGTTACACAGCACAGGTGGACAAGCACAGGCTGTGTGTCTCATTAATTCTTATCCAAGGCATAGAGCAGATACATGTAAACCATTTCCATAAAAGCAAAGAGCTAGAAACCCTTAAATATCCATTAACAAAAGACTGGATAGATTTTGGTATATTTAAAGTAAGGACTACCAAATAGTAAAAATAAATCAAGAGCATGCATCAACATGGATGAATCTCAGAAACCAATGCTGAACACAAAATAAAAATTACATCACAAAAGGATAATCACAATGTGATTCTACTTATATAAAGAGCCCAAAGAGGAAAAGCCAATGTATTGTTTAGAAACACTTACATATGCATGTGGAAATCTCTAATGAAAGCACAGGAATGTCAGAGGGTTGAGATACACAGAGGAATTACAGTGTCCTGAAGCTGGGTGGTGAGACTACGGGTATTTGTTTTACTATTATTCTTTATATTATCTACACACCTTTCTTTGTCTATTTCTCAATAAAAATCATGCTGCACATCAAAATAAAGTCCAAATGCCATTTAAACATAACATTTGATACCATAAACTTCAAGAAAAACATAAATACGATCTTCAGATGGGGAAGACTCGTGTAAGTTGTTATGGACTGAATTGTGTCCCACTAAATTCATATGTGGAAACTCTAACCCTCAGTACTTCACAATGCGATTGTATTTGGAGACTGGGCCTTTAAAGAAGTAATCAAGGTAAAATGAGGTCACTAAAGGATGCCCTAATCCAATATGACTTTTGGCCCTATAAGAGGAGGAAATCTGGATACACAAAGAGACACCCAGGATGAATGTACACAGAGGAAGGACCATGTGGCAACACAGCAAGAAGGCGGCCGTCTACAAGCTAAGGAGAGAGGCTCACGAGAAACCAAACCTGACAACATCTTGATGCTGGGTTCCTAGACTCCGGAACCATAAGGAAATAAATTTCTGTTGTTTAAAAATAAATAAATAAATAAAAATAAAGATATGAGATTTGTCAAGTCTCCAAATATTTACTGGTCATGTACCCTCTCTCAGGAAACTTTTAGGGGATATGTTCCATCAAACAGAATTAAGGAAGGAGAAGACTTGGGGTCTAGGAAGACAGTGGATCTACACAGGAGATGAGCGAAGGGACATCTCAGCAGAGCAGAGAAGGGAGGCCCCAGGGCGAGAGCTGTGCCTTAGACCCATAGAGCAAACAGTCCATACTGGAACAGGCAGAAGGAAGGCTCTATGAGGGATGTTTCCAAGAAATAAAATAAAAGCAACAGACTATTTAATTGTGCAGACAATTTTATTAAGTGGCATTTTACACAGGTGTTGAGGGGTGGAGACTTGGCCTGCAAGTCAAGAAAATGAAAAAAATTCGGCAATTACTAGCTCCATGCCAAAAACAAACAAACAAACAAACGCTGTTTAAGCAAGAACATGTGATCACAGTACACTATTTGGCTAAGTAAAATAAAGAAATAAAGTGCATAAAGGCTATCGTATACATAAGGAGAAAAAGTGTAAGTAACTTTTACCTTCCATCACACAACATCCCTATTAAAAAAAAAAGCTGGGGCTAAGTCCCCTTCCAGGTAGACAGCTGAGAACACCAATGGATCAATCACCTGGAAGAGCAAAGTCTTGAATGCTTCTCCCTGGCTACTGAGTCTGATCCACTCTAACGGCTTTTAAGTCCATGAGAAACTGGCTACACGATCAGGTTATAAATGGATATCAAGGCAACTTACTTATCACCATCTTAAGGCATTCAGGATTGTCTTGAATAAGCGGTTCAGCTTGTACGGTTTTACTTAAGAAATTCTTTGATATAAGAGGAAACCTGACTTTAGCAAGGATATCAACCATAAATGGCTGGCGATTAGGTTCGTCGTATTTCAACCACCTGACTGCAGCATCATAAACCTAAGGGGGAAAAACAACAAAGTTCTTAGATGGCAGAGACATTGTCAATTACCTATGTTTACTCTCACATTGAAGGGGAGAATCTCATAAAGACACAACCACTTATTTCCAATATTTTATTCAGATATTTGTTTTCATCCCCAAACACCTGCCTGTACTTCAGGACAGTTCACACACTGCTCTAGAGATTCTTGTAGGTAGTATGTTTTTTAGAACTAATCACTGCTACATAACGTAATGACAAGATGTTGAAGCTTTCAAAACATTTTTCAAAACAAAATATAGCTTCATTTTTGGAAGATATGATGTGCATTGGTACTGAAAAAAATCTACTCATCAATGATAGTTTGAATATATGCTTATTTGGTACCAGGAAAGCGGGTTAATTTCCTAAGAGGCCTTCCATCCTACGAGACATCAAGGTCGCCTATGCTTTTATTTCAGTCTTCAATATTCCTGAATTGTGAACTGATAGACTCATTTACTTTCCAGAACCTCTGAGATATAAAAATTCTATATTTAAAAAATAAATTACAGGGCCTTTATTGAAGAATTATTTTCCAAATAATACTGCAGCATTAACTGCACTGAAGAAGTCCAAGTTCATTAACATAACTGGTTTACAAATCATTAAACAAACTGAAAACAAATCTATTATTTCATATACACACACATTTACCACACACGTTTGAGCTAGTTAAATTGTTAATTTTGGTGTCGTGTTAATAAGGCCTAAGTTCTGATGTCCTCATGAGTTATTTAATTTCTTATGGGAATTGGTCTATTTTTTTAAATAAGCTTTTTATTTTAGAATAGTTTCAGATTTACAGAAAAGTTGTAAACATAGTGCATATACCCTGCACCAGTTTTTAAAATGTTACATTAGTGTGATACTCTTGTCACAACTAATGAACCAATATTGATACATTAACTAAAGTCCATACTTAAAAAAAAAATTTAGTTTTTATCTAATGTTCTTCTTCTGTCCCACAATCCCATAAAGGATACCACATTACATTTGGTCATTATGTCACCTTAGGCTCTTCTAGACTGTGACAGTTTCTCAGACATTCCTTGTTTTTGATGACTGACAGTTTTGAGTTCTGTTCAGGTATTTTGTAGAATGTCCCTCAATGTGGGTTTGTCTGATGTTTTTCTCTTGATTAGACTAGAGCTACTTTTTGTGAGGAAGACCACAGAGGTGACGTGCTATTCTCATGACATTATATCAAGTGTGCATGCTATCAACATGACTTATCCCTGATGATGTTAACTTGTAGGTAATGTTTGTCAGGTTTCTTCAGTCTAAAGTTACTTTTTATTCCCTTTCCATACTGCATACAAGTCAGTTAATTTTGATCACAGGAGTGAATTTTTTCTTTTTGCCTATTTAGGTCTTCCAGGTCCAACCCGAGAACTTGCAAACTGATACTCTGGGCCATGAAGAAGACAGGACAAAACACGGTCAGTGCAAACCTTTTATCTTTAGAAGAAAAGTAACTCAAAGCATACGGTCTTACAGTACCTCTACTAGTTTCCTATTGCTACTGTAACAAATTACCACAAATTTACTATCTTATAATATAGAGAAGGATGTGGGACTAAGAAGAGAGATTAAGTGAATGTCTGCATATCAAAGCGTTACCGCACCCAAATGCCTGCATCCAGCTTGCACCTCTGACAGTTCATCTGACCGTTCTGGAGGTCAGAATCCACAATGGGCCACACAAGGCTAAAATCAAGGTGTTAGCAGGGCTGCCTGGAGGCTCTAGAGAAGAAACCGTTGTCTTGCCTTTTCCAGCATCTAGCAGCTGCCTGCATTCCTTGGCTCATGGCCCCTTCCTCCATTCAGCAACAGCCGGTCAAGTCTTTCTTACATTGCATCATTGTGACACTGACACTTCTGCCTCTCTCTTCCACATTTAAGGACCTTTCTGATTACATTGGGCCCACCCAGATAATCTCCTCATCTTAAGATCCTTAACCACATCTACAAAGTCCCATTTGCCATGTAAGGTAACATATTCCCAGGTCCTGGGGATGAGCACGTGGACATCTTTGGGGGAGGCACTGTTTTGCCTACCATGGTAAACAATAGCTTTATCTCTATCAAGTGGCCTCTCTCTCAAAGGGCAGGCCTTTACAAGCACCCGAGACTTACTTTTCCTATGAAACAGACTTTGGAATACTCTGTTTAATGTAAAGAACACATTCTCTCCCAATATAATTCTTTTCCTTGTCATGTATCCAAACACGAGGCATAAGAAATCACTAAGGACATTTTCACTAAGAAAAATGTGAGAAGGCACTTTAGTCACCTGATCCTCCGCTCTCACAGTCAGAGTGTCCTGGTTGAGGAGATGTGTAACTCGCTTGACATCAAGCTGCAGAAATTCATCAGTTTTGTAAACTTCAGTAAAATGCTGATGAATAAAGTCATCTGCAGTTGCTTTCAATTCAGGACAGTCCAGACACTCTGCTAGCACACTTATACCTAAACACAGACAGAAAATTAGTGAATAGAAAACCATTTTTTAAAAAACCAAATACAAATTGAAGATAAAGTATGACTCCAGGAAAACAAGAGTGAATGAATTTCATAAATCTGGATCCTTTTCTATTGCACTGACTTGTCTATTCTTATGCCAATATTATACCGTCTTATGCATGGCTGATTTTGATATTTGGTAGGACAATCCTCCTTCAGTGTTTTTTCAAGCTTTTCTTGGCTACTGTTAAACATTTTCTCTTGCAAGTAAATTTTAAAATAACCTTATCACATTCTACTTAAAAAAATTCTGATGTGACTTTAACTAGGATTGCACTGAATTTTTGGATCACTCTGGGGACAGGTGACTGTTCTACAACATGGAGAAGCTCCACTTAAGAACATGACATATATCTCTATTTATTCAGATTTTTTATGATCTACATTGTAATTACACAGTTGTCTTCATAGCAACCCTATACATTTCCCCTTCAGCCTTTTCCTAGCTGTTTTATTATTTTTTGTTTGGGAGGAAAGATTCCCCCCTAAATTGGTTATTTATGTTTTACATCAGGAGTCTGCAAAGTACTGTCCATTGGCCAAATCCAGCTATAGGGTCAGCAGCTGAGAACTTTTTGCATATTTTTAAAGGGTCATAAAAAATGTGGGGGGGGGGTGTTCAGGAGAGGGAAAGAAGAAGGGGGGAAAAGGAGAAGGAAGAGGGGGGAGACAAGGACCATACGTCTCGGGCCCACAAAGCGTAAATATTTACTATCTGGCCCTTTACAGAAAAAGTTTGCCAACCCCTCTCCTAAATAAAACCACTGATTATTGTATGTGACCTTTGTGGCAGGCCTCCTTTCGAAGTCATAAGTTGAATTTTTTTCAGTTCATTATCTTTGATTTTCCATGTTTCAACTTCATGTTGTCTTCAGATAATTAGTTTTGATGTTTTCATATTTATACCATAAAGGTTCTCATAACTGATGCTTGCTAATGAATTTGTCAGATCAGCTGTCATTTTCTAAATGTACTGACCAATGCCATGGCAGGCTAGATGCTCACGGCGAGCAGTCTGCTACATCTGTACACTTATACATCAGGGAGATATTTTCACCAAGAACCAATATTTGTTTATTAACTAATTTTTGGCAGTTGAATTTGTTTTAATTAAGCAATCCAATTAAATATCATGCAGATCAATAAAATATGAATGTGAAAAGAAAGCAGTTGTTTCTACGAAAACTAATCTTAAGGTTTAAGACAGACTTGAAAAAAGCTCAAATTAGGCATGACCAAGACAAGTGACAAGATCCAAGAAAACACTGCAAAATTCTAGAGGGATTCTGTACTTAGACTACCTTGCTAAGTTCTCAATTCATTTTAAGGAAACTAAAAATAAAAAATCATAGATGATATATTATTGGTTTGATTTATGTAAGACAGACGATGGATCAATACTCAAATAATAGGCTTGGTCTTACGCTTAAAGATTGGAAGATTGGTACACTTATGTATTATGCTGAAGTAACAACTCCACAGCAGATACTGTCTTGTTTAACCGCCACTGCTTTAATGACATTTTAAAATGGCCTATCAACTACTGCTCTGATTATGCTTGATAAGGAAGCTTTTCCTATTACCTTATTTATTTTTTCTTGACCAATTGCATGATGGAAATCTCCAGCACAAAGCTGAATAGCAGCATGTCTCTCTGTAAAGACTATTTGCTATAGGTTTCAGACACTTATAGGTTAATTAGGTATTCTATTTCTAGTTTAAGAAGTGTTTTTTGAAACATCAGGAATGGGTACTGAAAACACAAAAGTGTCTTCAGCATTTGTTGCTATGATTATAAGTATTTATTTTTTTCCTATAGCTTGTTAGTATAGTAAATTATGTTAGATTTTTTAACACTGAATCATTCTGGCATTTTTGAAGTAAATTCTACTTGGTCACAAAGTATTATTACTTTAATTAATAAACAATTTTTTCAATTAGTTTTAGGTTCACAGCAAAACTGAGTAGCAAGTACAGAGTTTCGGTATACCCCTGTCCCCACAGATGAACAACCTCTCCTACTATCAGTATCCCACACTACAGTGGTAAAGCATTATTTTTTAAAATATATTCATTGATGGATTCAACTTGATTCTTTTACTCTAAAAGTTTTTAGAATAAAAAAACACTGATGCTAAGTGAAACTAAAATTTTATGTGTGTTTGCACATGCACACACACACGTTCTTTGTTTAATGTTGGCATCATGATAACCCTACCCTTGGAGAATGAGCTGGGGAGTTTTCCATTCTTGTCTATTGATTTAGAACAGTTTATCTAACAAGGCATTAATCTATTCCTTGAATGCTTGGTAGAATTAACACATAAAACCATCAAGTCTGAAGCATTCATTTGGAACAGATCTTTCTCTTCCCAATGTTTCTGAGGTTACTGGTTTTAGGTTTTCAACCTTTAAAGACAATTTTGGTTATCTTTTGCTTTCATATCTTGATTTTGTTTCTTCTTTGATTTTCTTCTAATTCTTGATACCGTTTGTTCTTTGATTTTTCCTTCTTTGTTAGGCTTGTTAACTTTGTGACTATTTTATAATGTTCTTTGAAATAATTAGCTTTTGTTCTTCTGGCCAAGTCTACAGTCTATTAGTGTTATTTTTCGATTTCATTAATTTATAATTTGAAGAATATTTTCTACTTTCATTAGGTGTTTAAAAAATTTTTTTTCCTGTTTGAGTGAAATACTTAAGAGCAAATAAAAATAAATGCATTTATTTGCAAAACATTTTAAGATGACAAATTTTCTTTTAAGAAATACATTGGTAACATTCCAAAGATGTTGATTTATTCTGTGCTTATTGTCGTATGTTTCCATATAGCCTTTAAGTTCATTTTTAATACCTCTTTAAAAATATTTTTCTAAATAATTCTTCGGTTAAATTTCTTAAGTGTTGAGAATGGGGTGGGAGAAAATAGCTCTCCTTTTGAGGTTAATTTCCAGTTTCACTGCACTGTAATCAGTGGATGTGGCCTGTGTCTCTTCTCCTTTTGATGCTCCAGATTTTCCGTGGCTAGTGATCAGTATTTGCAAACACTTTCCAACGGGGTCTGAAAATTATGTGTTCTCTGATTACTGGGTAAAATATTCTGTGACATCTATCTAAATAAGTTTGTGTTATTCAAATCCTTATACTTCTTCTAAGCTTGATTTTTGAGATTTCTAGGCAATTCTATGAATTATTCAAAAACTTTTCATTAAATTTCTTTTCTGTTTAAACCAGCAAAAGTCAGTTTACTTTGCTTGCGACTAAGAAAGCTTACCAATACATCCCTATCTTGAGATCGTTACTTCTCACGAGGCTGCAGTACTTCCCTCAATAGTCTTCTCAGAAAGGATATAGGTGATTATATACTGTCTCTTTGCAATATCCCAAATGAATGATGTCTTTGAATATAATTCTTTTCTTCTCCCTCTATCATTTGCACGTCTTATGCTACTATCTTGCAACTTTGTGTTCCAGATAAAAAATAAATGTCTTTCTGATTCTCTTTCTTTTCTAAGTAACTTGTTATACCACTTATCCACTGCTGCAGGACACACAATCTCAAAACTCAGTGGTAAAATAAAAATTTATTATTTCCCACAATTCTATGGGTCAAGTACATGGTTCTTCTAGTCTGGGCTGGCTTAGCTAATCTCTGCAGTCAGCTGGCTGCTCAGCTGGGGACTGGATGGTCTACATTGGTCTCATTCACTTATCTGGTAACAGGCAGGCTGGTGGCGTAGGGAACCTCAGCTGAGCTAACTCATCTCTGCCCCAAACGGTCTCTAGTCTTCTTGTCATAATGGCAGAGGCACTGCCAGCTGCAAAGGAAAGCAAACCCCAGTGCACAAGCATTTTTTAAGCCTCTGTTCATGTCACATTTGCTAATGTCCCACGGGGTAAAGCAAGCCACAAGGTCAAGCTTGAATTACAAGGAAAACAGACTCCACCTCTTGATGGGAGGAGTTACAAAGTCACACTGAAAAGGATACAAGGATGGAAAGAATTCGTGGCCAATTTTTGGTAATCTACTATACCTCCTCCTCTCTAAAAGCTTATCAATTCTTTCTCCATATTGATTTTTTTAATTATGATAAAATACACAAAAAATTTACCATTAGTGACATTCACTAATGAATTAGTACATTCACAATGTTGTGTCACCATGACCACTATCTAGTTCCAGAATATTTTTATCACCCCAAATATAAGTTCTTCCTTGATCTATATCACCAGGATATACCTTAGTTCATTGACAGGTCTGGTACTTAGTATAATTTAGTCTGAAAGTTAAAGTTTTTTTAAGCTCAAATAAGTTTTCTTCTATTATTTCTTTGAGTATTGCTTTTCTGCCATCTGTTCCTCCTGGAATTACCACTGCACATTAGTGTCCCCGTATCTTTCTTCCATATCTTTTATCTTTTCACTAATGGTTTCCATTTCTCTGATTTTTGTTTTGTATCATGAGGCAGTATCCTCCGTCTGATCTTTAGTTTGATTTTTAGGCATATTCATTCTATTTTTCAATTCAACTGAATTTCATGGAAAATCATGTTTTCTTCCCCCTTCAAATGCATCCTTTCAAGTTCTCTTCCATTTCTTACATTAAATTTGCCTAGAGGAGCCAGTCATTTTTGGCTGTTTATCTTGATTTTTTTTGTCCCTCAAACTACAGGGTTTCCCTCAACTTGGTATGATCTTTGCCCAATTCCATCAGCCACCATGGGCTCCTTTAGCACTTGTGGATGTCAGACTGTTGGGATTTTCTAGGCAGCAGAGAATTGACAAGTGGTGAAAACTAAAACAGCAGTTCTCCAATCAGCTCACAGGGAGAGTCATGCTCAGAGCTAAACAGAAAGCTGGACGAAGCAGTTCCCATGCATACTGAGTGACTGCACTTGGTCCAGCTGGCTGGGCCACTGTCTCTGCCTCAGGCTTAGCCAAAGAATCAGGCTCCCTTATACGCTGTTAGGCTGTCCTGCCTCCTAGCTTTGTAAACAATGATGATAGAAGGCATCCAGAGGTGAAATTCCTAAATGGTCTCCTCAGAAGCCCAAAGTCTAAGGTGTGGTTAGCACAAACTTGCTCCAGGTCCCACACTATGCTTTGTACCGCCAAAACTACTCTCTACTTTAGCTCGTTTTCTTTCTAGTTGAATCACCCCAGTAGGAAATTTAGAATGCTAGAGAGTTAGGGAAACATACTTAAGCCATCATCTTCTAAAAACTTCTTTAAATTCCCTTTTTATAATAAATTTTGTCAGAATATTTATTTATACAAGAGGCACCAAGTTTTAAACTTAAATCCCTAAACTATAGCCCAGAAAGATGGAGGGACTCAGCCCAGAGTGTCTCTGTTGTATAGATGGGATTAAAGGCTGGCCTTTTATTTCTTAATATAGGAATCTTTTCACTATGTAGACCCATGGCTACCTTTCAAAAAAATTCCATCAGTATATTCACCTGCATAGCTATTTCCCTCCTGTTCCATCTAATCCAATTCCTTCTCTGGATACAATCTCATTCCCATCCCCTTCGCCTGGCTTTTATCCTTCCCTAAAATTTATTCTGCTTCCTTTCCACCTGCCTTCTAAGACCATTTTCTCTGCACACACAGTGGGGCAAGGGGTGCCAGATCGAGTAACGAACTGTCTAGTAGGAGCGGAGTCTATAAAAAGCAGGGACAGAGGAGGCTTGTAAAACTTCTCATGCATCTCCAGGAGCCCTGTGCCCCAGCCATCATCTTCTTGTCATCAGCACCGCTCATCTTCTACTGTGGGTCAAAAATCTTAGCATTGGCTGGATTCCCAAGCCTCTCTCTCTACTCTCCTTGACTCTGCTTTCCTTTCCTCCCTGCTTTCATAGCACTTCTAAGCCCAATCATCTTCCCCTCTGAACCACAGCAAGGGCAGGAAAATGTAGTTACAAACATCTGGATGTTCTTTCACATGCCGCTAAGGATCATCTCACAGTGGAAAGCATACCACACTTGGAAAACTAAGATCAACTTTCTCTGCTTCTTCTGATATCAAATGCAAAATATGTACTTTATTAATAGCTTTAAAATGGAGTGCTGTAGCAGTCTGTTAATTAGTATCTTAATTTACAGCCTAGGATTTTTAAGCTTTCTAGAGTAAGTAGTTAGCATATTCAACAACGTGGAGAGGCAGCATAGTGTAGCAATTAAGAATAAGATTACTTGAATTCTAACCCAGTTCCTCCACACACTAGCTATGTGACCTCAGGTGAGTTACACAACCTCAGTTTCCTCATCTGTGACAGACCATAGCAATCATAAGTGCTTCAACAAAGGTAAACATTCATGTTTATGTTATCACATATCATACCACCACCAGATGCAATCCTGTCCTAGATACACGAAAACTCATTATGAAAGCTATTTTATATTTTGGAAAATATTGAGACAGTGTTTAATGGACTTGTTGCTGCCTCGGTTAATATACAGCTCCCTAAGCTCCTCTTAAAATGTATTACAGAAAATTTTCTAGTGGACAATGTCTTTAAAACTAAATGAGGGTACTTATAACTGCTTTTTTCCTTTATTAAAATATAAAGATTTTAAAAAAAACAGGAATCTGATTTCTTACCAAGACAATTTGAAGCATCAACTTGTTCTTTCAAAAAATCAACACACATTTTCTTCACAGGTTCAATCTGGTACTGGTTTGCTGCATCTAACAAAGACTGAACGTTGTTGCTATTCACAGAAATTCTGCAAATAAATTAGAGTATTAATTGCCATAATTTTTAAATTATTTAAATAATGTTACTGTAGAATGTATCCTAGTAGCCCCTGAAATTAAATAAAAAATTAAACTTTTCAGTCCCTGAATTAGTATGGCACAGGATACTCAAACTCCCGCATCCTTGCAGTTTTTCATGCTGAAAAATTTGGAGCACATCAATCTGTTCTAACAATGCTCTGCCACGGCAGATCCCAACCTCCATCCTCCACAACAGAAATGGTCCTTCTTAACTTACCTAGCAGTATAAGCAAATTCCACAAGCTGCTCAATAATGTCAGGTTCAGCATCTTTGAGTTCTACTTCAAAGGACTTTGACTCAAGCATGTTAGCTAAAATGATGAGAAAAAACATAAATGGCAGGAGTACTACCTGAGTTTAACTGAGGAACCAGAACATTCCAGGCATGTCAAATATGGAGAAGAATAACAGAACAGTTCTCTCTGGAAGAGAATACCTCAGACAGCCCAACATCCCTAGAATAAATGCAAATTAATTCTTCACACATGAGATGTGCCTTAAATTAAAATAAGCTAAGAAATTAGTGAATTAGTATACTTGTTAAAAAAAAAAAAAGCCTAAGTGAACAGAGACATAAAACTAGATTTGGTAATTTCTCAAGTCCTAAAATAATTTAGTAGCAGTCTTTTAAATCATTATGAGTAAAATGCCTCTGATGCAGCTGGAACAAAACCACAATGGCAATTACATACCTAGTCAGCTACAGCTTGCAAGGCTCTCACTCTTCCTAAAACCCTGGTAGGCAGCCAGGGCACTAAAGAGCAAACTTGAGGCAGATACATCATATAACCTGATCAAGCTCATAAAACAGAACTAAGTAGAGGAACCAGGACTTGGAGGCCGTTCCCAGCTCCGAATCTAGGGTTCTTTCTAGTATGATATGCTACATTTCATTTTTACTTAGATTAACTTCTGAGATAAAATGTCCTAAGATTTATCTGCTCCTTTGCCTTTCCACCTGAAGTTAAGAAAAAAAACCTGGGCATTTAAGTACAAGCTGTTATCTCCATCAATAAAGACATTAGGCCTTTAGGACTAATGAAAGAACATTTGTCCTTTGATCAATCATCACCATGACCACTTTTCAATCTCTTCAATGTTCCAATGCCTTAGGTTCTTAAGTGCTTTAAAAACTAAGAAAAATGGCATATTTTCACTTAGACACAACCTCATTCTCACACACAAAGAATAATATGTTTTACTTTAAGATACTTACTTGTGAACATTAAGTTAAAAAAGTGACTGGCTGCAGCAAGGACAACACGATGGGCAGGTATCTTTCTTTCCTGGACCATAAGGATCACATCACACAATGTTTTCTAATCAAGAGAGATATAAACAAAATTAAAAGGGATTCACTGGGCCTAGCTTAGCAAACATGTAAAACAGGTGCCTGCCAAATGCTTTATCTCTATTTTCTACTTAAATCCAGTCTTTTTCCAGCATAGAATTTATAATATATGACCTATTTAGGAAGGATGTACAGAGTTTCTGTCACAAGTTTGCTGTATCAAAATTTGGCAGTTTCCCAGCAGTGAGGAAAAAAAAGAAAAGATCCTTATAGTCAGAAAAGAAATAGTCCACTAATTCTCTAGGGAAGCCAATTTTTCTTCTTTCTGACACAAATTCTAAGATATTTCTCATGGTGAGATTTTTATGGGGACATTAAATGACATAACGGCAATGTCTTTGATGGTTTTTCAAACATAGCAGTCTGTTTTTTTTCAATTATCTATCCTTGATAAAATCCAGAGCGCACACTGCATTTCCCAAGAAAGCAGCCTTCATAGATCTAACTTGAAACAGAACAACTCAAAATACATAGAGTGGATGAACAGAATGTCCACTCAGCAATCTTTCCTTAAATAACACTTCTCTCTAATGCACTGCTGATAGGGGCTGGAGAGCAGCCACTTTTAAATTGTGATTTCTGACCAAGGCCAAAATGGTGTTACACTAGGCTGCTGAAAGAAGACAGATCTAGATTAAATACTTCACTAAAATATTGGGAAAATGGAATATTAAAGAAAAATTTAAGGTTTACTAGAATCCTTAAAGATGAATTTCAAGAAAAAAGAAATGTCCTTTTTGTCAAATAAAATCTCAGTTTCTTAATGAAGTTAAAGATACAATGTACAGGTTAGTACCTACAGTATGTTAAGCACTTTCTTAGGCACTGGGAATATGAGGCAAATAATATATTCAGAGTAAAAAAAAAAAACTATCACTCACAAATCTAAATAATGGTTTAGTAGTTTAGAGGATACAGCATTTTGCAAATTTTAAGTATTTATTACTCCTTGAATAAAAATTCAAACAAGACAGTAATGCTTAGAATGAGAAAGAAAATGGGCCCCAAACTGTGGGCTAAGAGATGAACAAAATTTCACTTTTACAGCTTATCTGAAGATTTTTTTATAAGGTCTATAGATTATTGCTTAGAAATTATATGCAAATTACTTATAGTTAAAGCTATTGTTATCCCAACAGTGTCTGAAATTTTTAAATTTTTATTTCCTTTCATTTGGGCAGGGAATTACAGAGTGGGCATAGCTCTTAGGTCATTTTTTCACATACCACACCAAAAAAATACCAAGTAGCAAAAACCAAGCCAACTATTTGGTTACCACCAAAACATGCTGATCAAGTGGCTTAAGAGAAAGAAAGAAAAAAAACGAGAGAAGGGAAGGAAGGGAGGAAGGGAAAGAAGGGAGGGAAAGGAAAAGAATACTGACAGAAGATAGAAAGCAAATCAGATCACAGAGTTCTTGTAGGAAAGGGATCTATGGTTGCTGATGGGAAGTTCCAGAAAACTTAGACCTAAACTAAAATGCAGCAATAAAAACCTTTCCAAGGGTACTCAGCAATAGGCAGCTTTAGAGGAATGAATTTATAGGCACTGAAGGAGAGATATCAGAGATCTCTATTCGGTAATTTAGCCTTAATCAAAGGTTATCTCCAGCTAGATATAAACATTGAGAGTGTGTGTGCGTGTGTGTGTGTGTGGGGGGGTGAAATGGGAGAAATCTTTTGTATCCAAATGGTACATTTATTTGACTGTACTACAATAGATTAATAAATTTCAACAAGAGATGGGACTGAGCGAAAGACAGAGGTCCCTCCTGCTATCAATCATCTAGGGAAGAGGTATATCCACAAGCAGGAAATGGGAAGAGACAGAGACCCAGATAAGTTGGAGAATATGATAAGTAACAAGTCCTAGACGAATTGAAGACAAACTTAAACAAAAAAACTACCTTTTGAACAATATATGTTCACTGGAAAAAACGCAAGAAAAAAAACTTCACAATTTCTCTGTTTATGCCCCCCCATATTTGTTATATCTTCGTATTTATTATTTCCAGCTTTTGAATCTTTAGTCTCTTATAAGCAGCATAGACTTTTGTATGACTTAGTCTGAAGTTTTCACTATCAAAGATTATTTTTAGTAGGGTTTAGTGTAATCCTTCACATTTATTACTGATAACTTATGTTTCATCTTACACATGCCATCTTCTTTCATGCTATTTATTATGCTTCCTTGCTGTCTTCTTTTTTCTTTAACTGCCAGCTGCTATTTTGGACATATTTTCTTTGCACTCTTTCCTTCCTTTAGCGACTTATTTATAGATCTGTCAAATATTTCCAAACTGAACCCAGCAGGGTTATTAGTCAAATATTGTTCTAGGAATGCAAGGGGGGTTCAAGAACAATAATTCTATTAATGTAACTCATCATATTGATAGGTTAAAAGAGAAAAACTTCAATAGATAGCAAAAGAAGGTTTGATAAAATTAAAAATTCATTTCCTGAGACTCCTTAATAAATAAAATGATGTGTCTATATCCTGAAGGTCTTTCATCAAAAATCAACAGCAAACATCACATTTAATGGTGAAATAGGAGAGGCATTCTCATTCAAGTTTGAAACCAAATACACAAAGCCCTGTCTCTACTGTTATTCACTATTGTTCTGAAAATTTTAGCCCAATCAGTACAAAAATAAAGACAAATCAATTACCTGTCGAACTAATATGAAAAGTCACTAAGATGGCTAGAAACAAATAATACAAATATGAAAAAGCAATTAGCTAACTTATATGAGTAATATGCCATAAAGAAACATGAATGAGAAAAAAAAGTCATAGCAGCAACAAAATAAGTAAATATCGAGAAGTAAACCTAAGAAATGTGAGGGATCTACATTAAGTGGGAATTAGTATAGGATAAAGATACCACTTCAAAAATGTGAGAAGGTGCAACACAGGTGATGTTTAGGGCAGTGAAACTATTTTGTATAACACTGTAACGATGGATACCTGTCATTATACATTTATCAAAACCCATAGAGTGTACAACACAAAGAGTGAACCCTAATGTAAACTGTGGTTAATAATAATGTAACAATATTGGCCCATCAATTGAAACATGTAGCTACTACACTAATGCAAGATGTTACTAATAGGGGAAACGGGGGGTTGGGGGGAGGGTGGGGGGATTGAAACTGTACTTTCTGCTCAATTTTTCTGTAAATCTAAAACCGCTCTAAAAAATAAAGTTTATTAATTTTAAAATATGGTGAGAGATTGGATAATTGAAAAAAACAGCACTAGGATAAGCTACTCATTTAGGGGAAACACCAGATTTCTCTCTCATACTGTACTCCCTCCTTCCTCTGGGGAAGGTAAGTTCTGGGAAGGAAGTTCCAGTTCTTTCTGCCTCGTCACTTGCAGAATAGTAACTATAGGATGGGCAAGAGGATGTTAGAGGCCACTGACACACACAGCTGGCTCCTGGCTCATTCTTCTTCCATAAGTCTGTCCCCAAAGTGGAACAAAGCTCATTGGAGCAGGCTTGCCCCTGTGGCAGGAGAGAACTGTTCCCATGCATCAGCTGCTCTGCCTCAGAATGGGTGGGTAATTTTAGTTCAGGGGAGAAAGAAGAGAAAGCCAATTTCACACTCAAGTCAAAGTCATGTTCTCCAGTCTGTCATCTCTATTAATTTATCTGTCTCCTGAGACTACTTCCCAACTGTTCAGAACCAGAAGTGGAGGAGGGCCCCTCAAATCTTTATGCATAGACACTCAAAACACCACAGAGGGCGACAGGAACCTTGGTGCTGCTTTAGTGATTGCAAATTGTACAGTTTTGCTGGAAGAGTCCTTTGGTTAGGAAAGACTCACCTCAAAACAAGTAAGCATTTTAGGCACCTGTTGGTGAAACGACACATTTGCCAGGCAGGACTGCAAAAGCAGCTAGGTTCCATGTAAGCTCCACGGCATCTTTTTTTTTGAGGTTCTAACTTTTAACAATATATACTAGCATTTGTATGAGCTATGCAATCAGCTGTCCCAAATTCAATTCTTCATTGCATTCCAAGGAGAGGACTGAGGAATGACTAACTTTGGGTTTACATGGCTTGTCTTCAAGGTTCTGCAATCAGTCCTTCCCAGTGCGATTTCAAGTTGGCCCTGGGTATAAATCCTTGAGCATACTGCAGATTCAACTATACTTGGGTGGTGGATTTAAATCACTGAAAAGATAAATGGATGTAGAACACTTATTATATGGGGGTAAATCATCTTCGTTGATTCAGATACTAGAAAAGCCTCAACAAAGCCACAACAAACACAAAGGCCAAGAGAAAAATAAAAAAGGCCTCTCCAGGATTCATGTGTGTGCATAAAATTAAGAAAAACAGCATTGGACTTACACATAAAATAAGAATAAGGGAAGTGAGAAAGTGAAAGAATAACAAAAGAATAATCTAGGTTAATAGAGGGAAAAGGGGATTTCCTTCCATAAGGGAAAAATAGGACGTTAGGCGAAACAACTTTGAAAGAGAAAGGAGATATACTTTGGTATAACTATTCTTTAAAAGGTGGGAGTAGGAGGGGAAAAAAACGCTATTTTTGTTATTTATTCAAGGAAGGTGGTATGGGCCAAAGAGATATAATGAAGGAAGAAAACAAAGAATTCAGGAGGAGACTAAACTGGTTCTCTCAGAAAGAGCCCGGATCTAGGAAATTTTTGCAAGATTCCTCTTAAAGATAAAGATAAGAAATCAAAAACATAATTACAGGATTGCCCGTAAAGACTGGGACAGTTATAATAGTAATTATAGTAAGTTCAGGTAGATTTGAAAAGGGAAAAGGAAGAAGACCAGCAACAAGTACTTTATGCATTATTAAGTAATTTGCAAGGTGCTATGGGTGGGAAGACAGGAATGGTACACATTACAGCGGAACATATCTGGGAAGTTTGTGGAAATAAGACTAAAGGAAACTACTAGGTCACATTAAAAGAAAGCCACTTAACCC